CCCCAAGTCAATAGGTTCCGTACCTGAGGGTAATTGACTTGTTAGAAATAGTGGGAGAGTATTTAATAAAGACCTATTAGATACTTAATTCATGATAATAACTATCTTCGCAAAATTCTGTAGATGGCAAACAACAACAACACAAACAACCTCGCCCTGCGTTCCATTCTGGATAAAGATAAATTGAATGGAACAAACTTTGTTGACTGGCAACACAATCTCTCCATTGTTCTCCGCATGGATGAGAAAGAGTATGTGCTCGAAAAGCCCATTTCTCGTGCCCCTCCCGCTAACGCCCCGAAAGCGGTTAAAGATGCCTACGAGAAACACGTTAAGGATGATAACCAGGTTAGCTGTGTCATGCTGGCAACCATGATAACCGAGCTGCAAAAACAGCACGAGGACATGAAGGCCCACGAGATGATCGTGGCCTTGCGGTAGCTATACCAGGGGCAATCCAGGCATGAACGTTTTCTTGTGAGTAAGGCTCTCTTTAGTTGCAAGCTCTCTTCAGGGAACCCGGTCGGTCCACACGTTCTCAAAATGATTGGTTACATAACCAATCTGGAGAAACTCGGGTTCTCCTTGCAGAAGGAGCTGGCAACAGACCTGATCATGCAGTCGCTCCCTGAGCTGTATAAGGGTTTTGTCATGAACTACATGATGCATGATCTTGACAAACCCCTTCCGGAGCTTCTTAAAATGCTCCAGGTTGCAGAGGAGAACCTTACTAAGGGCAAGGGTTCTTCCGTCCGTATGGTCCAAGGCGGAAAGGGGAAGCCGAAGAAAGGGATTAAGATTAAGGCTAGGACGGTCGGAAAGCCTAAATCGAAGTCCACTTCAACTGCAACCCAAAAACCCGTAGGAGGAGTTGCAAAGGGCAAATGTCATCACTGTGGTAAGGCAGGCCACTGGAGAAGAAACTGCAAGACATACCTCGCAACCAAGAAGAAGGAAGGTACGACCATTTCTTCTGAGGTGTATGTTATAGAAGTTAACATGTCTATATCTTCATCATGGGTACTAGATACTGGATGTGGGTCTCATATCTGTACTACCA